AAACTTGAGCTAAGACAACTACTTGCTAATACCTAGTTTAGAAATAGGAAGTGAAGTGGTTGATGGAGCAGGTTGACAACTTCACTTATTTGGGAAGTACCATCAGCCAGTGCCAACGGGTTGATCTCTGACGAAATCTCAGCTGAGTACGGATACAGAGGGCTAGTTTCGCATATACTGGCCAGTTTACGCCGTCACTGGCTTAGTAGACCTGATATCCTGCCGGCTATCGACCAAAGGGCTGGTGTACTGCTCACCAGTCCGCTCCACCCTCCTTTATGGCTGGCTGTGATACCTGGCCACTGAGAGTGGAAGACATGAAAAGACTAGCTAGCTGTCTTCGATCATAAGTGCCTACATTCTATTTCCCGTGTGAACTGGTATAATAAGGCGTATCAGTGGTATCGGGTATCAGTCTAGTGCTAGGTAGGTGGAAGGGGAAATCAATAGATGAGGCTGTGAAGCAGTTACATCGAGTGAGATGGTTGGGACATCTGCTACGCCTTCGTCGACGGGCAATGCCAGCTGATATAGGATCAGGCTGGAAAAGAACTTGTGGCGGTCAAACCAAAACATGGCTTCATCAGTCAGTGGAATCCACAACAGTTAGTTTAAGCCAGCCACGTAGGAAGGTGTAGACTAGCTTCCTGACCGGTTGGGGTTCTCAGGACGGTGAACATCAATGAAGGCTGGAAACAATTGGTGATATGGCTCAAACTCATCGTTCTCGGTGGCTGGCTAGGGCAGATGCATCCACTCTTTGTGACTTATGATTTTCAATGAAACTGTCTTGTTCTTGGTTACTACTATTCCTTTTGTCTCACACCTCTGTTTACTGTCTCTATTATGCATTTCTTCTACTTTCTTCTCTTGCTTTGTTTGCTACATGGAGGGAATGTGGTGACTTGAACTGGTGCACATCGGTGCAAACTGGTTCCGTGTCGAAAACAGACAGACAGACTGACGGACGTGCTAATACGGATTCCACTGATCTCAGTCTTCATTCTCCTTCAACCTTTGTTGTTGCTTAAATAACGCAGATTTTTTTTGGCAAAGACCTTAGTATGCAATAAGTGTTACCGTTATTCAACCCATTATCCAGGAATATGGATAATGACAAAAACAATAGTTGATATAAGAATAAAACTTGTGCACCGTGGTAGAGTGTAATTCCATTATGGGTAAATTTTGTTTTGATAAAGTCTCACAGTGTTATACAGTAATGTTTACTGATGACCATGTTTCGAGCATAATTTATTGCTCATAATCATATCAAGGTAATGATTATGAGCAATAAATTGTGCTCGAAACGTCATCAGTAAACATTACTGTATAACACTGTGAGACTTTATCAAAACAAAATTTACCCATAAAGGAAAAACAATAGTGTTAGTTAAAAATTAAAAGAAATGAACAAAAGAGGATAAACGTCGGTATACCCACTGACTGTTTGAAGCAACTGCTGCTGAGACGCACTCTAAATGTTCAGTTCCCTTTCAATAACGAAATATATCGACAAATACCTATGGGCTCACCACTGGGCCCATTGCTTGCAGATTTCTTCATATGAAAACTAGAAAACAGATAATTTAATTGAATTTTAGATTTTCCCGTCGATTGATTGGACCGAAGTACTTGGTCGCAGGTTGACATGTCTATTGGCTTCTTGTGCAGATGCTTCGACGATGTCTTGGCATGTAATTAGAAATTAATTAACTATTGGATGGTGACTAGCAGTAGAATCCAGTCCAGGATAACGTGCATTTCTTCCTATTTGGGACTCGTTATCTGGATGCTAGTCACCATCTACCAATTAAATTCTGATTAAATGCCCAGACATCGTCGAAGCATCTGCACAAGAAGCCAACAGACATGTCAACCTGAGACCGAGTACTTCGGTCGAATAAATCGATTAGAAAATCTAAAATTCAATTAAATAATTAATATGACCCCTTGCACAAGAGGTGGCCAGCTGTCGTGACCCAAGTGGTCTAATCGATAACACTTTGCCTGGTGTTTGTAACTATGACCTTGGTGGGAACATCATCATCACTGACTCACTGTGGAATGCAGGTACATCCAGCTGGCGGACGAGTCCCAAATAGGACGAAATACGCGCTTTCCTGGTCCTGGATTCCACTGCTAGTCACCATCCACCAATTAAATTCTAGAAAACAGATACGTAAAAGAAAATCTTTGACAGCTTCGGGTTTTACAAAAGATACATGGAGGATATTTTGATTATCTCTAATAACGAGGAGAATTTGAAGGACCTTTTCAACAGCTGCTATCCTAAGATTAATTTCGCATTAGAGGAGTCAGGCACAAGCATGTCTTTTCTGGATGTTCAGTTAACAAGACGGAAAACTAAAAAGATACATCTATAGAAAGCCAACATGGAACGAACAGCTCACTAACTTTCATAGCTCAGTGCCTGTATATACGGAAGGAAACCTGAGCTAAACTTCTAATAACTTTCTCTAGGAAGCCGATGATTCTCATACCTAGCTCGTGTGGAGCTAGGTATTTTGGTTTACCCAGTGGTTTCTATCCAAATGTATCATCGAACACCTACCTTAATGGTTTTACAAAGGAGCAAATAGGTTTCCCCAGCCACCACTCTCTCCTGGAACACATGGTCAAATTTGGACACCAAGGTTACGCACAAAGGAACTTCAAAGTTATCTACAGAATACGTGGGAATCTCGATAAAAGAGTACGAATCAAACTTCGCCAAATCCTACAGAAGCAATGGTGATTCGCATGTTAAACCATGAACTCTGCACACAAAAGAAGTTTGTTCACTCGTTAAATCTACAATAGATTAGATCTATGTTAAAACCTTGGTGAGAACATCATCAATCACTGTGGAATGCAGGCTGAGGAGTCCCTAACGGGACAAAATGCACGTTATCCTGGATTCCACTTCTAGTTACCATCCACCAGTTAACTTCTTATTACTGGCCGGGACATCTGCACAAGGAGGAACTGACATGTCAACCTGAGACTGAGCACTTCAGTCCAATCAATCGACGGGAAAATCTAAAATTGAATTAAATAATAAATTAATCGTGGTGTTTTGTCCGAAGGATAACAAGGTTGTGCACATAAATTTTGCAATTATTCATAATAATAGAAATGACAATAATAATAATAATGGTTCAATCAGTAACAAGGAAGCAGAGGTGAGACGATCTGTGATAACAAGAATGATGCAAAACAGCATATTTAAACAAATAATAAATAAATAAATAATAAAAACATATGAACCGATTAAGTAATGCTAGGTTGTAAGGGAAGTAAATGAAACACGTTTTTAGTAAAGATGTGATAAGATAAGGGATGATAAGAGAGAGGTTGAAAACATAAGTAAGTAAGTAAGGGGTGATGGTGTAGAAGTCGTCAGTTGGTTATATCTTAATAGGCCAACATGGGAGGAGGGATAGTAGCTGTACGAACTTCTTCTGAATGAAGACATGGTTTAGGTGTAATAGTTCGAATGCCTATCGCCTGACTCAGCTGTGAGTGTGTGTGTTTGCAGTAGACGAATAGGAAGTCTATTGGAAAGATTCGGTGGGATACGATGAATTACTTTTAAGGCTCTCGTTTTCTCCACTACATGACCACTATCAATTAAATGTGACAAAATTGAGCTACGGATTGTTTTTGTCTGTCCTTCGCCAAACCACGATGAAGGGAGGTGTTCACTAACACGTTGGCTAAGCTGTCTAGTAGAATACGTCACTTTTTCATCCTTATTATTGATAAGACCATTATTATTATTATTATTATCATTACTATTACTATGACTAACTGCACAATCTATATTCACCATCTTATTATCCTATAGACAAAACACCATGATGATTGGTTTATATTTGAATTTCTATTTGTAAAGTTATGTGTGCATATTAGAGTTAAGCCTAATGATGAGATCTACTTGAAAACAACAATATTGTTCACTCAAATGTGTTGTTTTAAATAATGGGAGATGTACAGTAGTGACACACTGGCTTAGCTGTCTAGTAGTAGGCTCAACATAACTGTCACCTCAGGTGCAGTTGAACTGAAAAATCGGCATAGATGTGGCAAAACTATCTCGCTTATCTTTCGTTTGTGTCCCAATCATTCATCGGCTAGAGAATGACAAACATAGGTATGCTGCGTAAAACGTTCTTCGTATACTCCTGGAAAGTCTCTGGAATAAAAGCTGGCTTGATAAGTCACCATTAAATTGTCATTTATTAAATAGAGGTTTTTACCTGCAGTCGGAGTCTCAGGTTTTCTCTCCAATATTTTCATATGTTTCGTCAGTGATCAACCTGTTGGCACCGGCTGATGCGATTTCCGAAATAAGTGAAGCGGTCAAAGTGCTCTACCACTTCACTCCTTGTTTCTAAGCTGTAGATTCATCATCTTACAGTTGACAGCAGGAGTGAATCGCATGCCAAACATTCTTAGATTGCAGCTCAATGTGTTCAGAAGACTCTACTCTATTTCGTCAGCGTCTTCACCTAGAAAGACTATATCATCTACATATTGTAAGTCAACGAGATTATCCGTGAGTCGCTGAAGTCATCCGTTACGGTTAATTCCATTAGTAGATCTATGATGAAATCTCATAGAAACCAGAATACTGGACATCCCAGACGGACATCACCAGGTGTCACCACTTCAGATGTCAACTGTCTGTGTAAGCTCTTCACCTGGCTAGCTGACTACATGAGTTCGAATAGAGTGATTGCCTTGATCAGTGCAATGTATTTTCTTGGCATTCCTTTCACAAACATCGATCGCCATAGTACCTGTCGGTCGACAGAATAGAATACCGGCTTTTAGGTCAAGAAATGTGACGACTGTTGGATGCCAACGGTAAGTGTGCCTAAAACATTTTTCTAACCCCCCCCCGCCCAACGCCACCTCAAAACAAATCAATTTTCAAACTACACGATTTCTTGTTGTTTATTTTTGTTATATCATACAATCTTCACTTCTGTTAGTTAATGCTGGCCAACATAAATGAAATCGAAGCGAATATGGATCCCTGTTTTATGCGTTTAATGCGTGCACAGTTTGCATATCTACAAAATTTACTCAGACCTGGTTTATCTTTATTAAATTGGACAAGTTTGGGAATTGATAATTTTATTGATGATGTAACCGGATATACTGATCAGTTAAGATTGTTGAATGAACGTGCAAACGACTTGAAAAAGTATCGGATTGAAAAAGTAAGTGACCTTATCATGAGAAATTTTATGTGTAAATTTCTTTAAGTTTATTTTTATTACAAATTCCCAAAATTGTACATATTAAGAACTTCCTGCGAATAATTTGACTGCCGAGACAGATTGATTCATTACAAATTATTATTTAAATTAATTCCAACGTGTTTTAAGAAAAAAAAAAAGAAAATCAAAACGAGATCTCATACATTTATTCCCTTTAATGAAAACTGTAGTTCTTGCTTTGTTCAAAACGAGATCTGTTTTCTGAACACGTTTCGCTGTGTAAGCTGCCACAGCTTCTTCAGCGGAATTATTCGGATTTTTATTGATCATCAAAATATGTAGTCACTTGTCCACAGACATTTGTACCAATAGAAATATGTAAAAGCGATCATCAACCATATATTTGTAATGACTAATGTCGAATTGTCATTGTGTATATTTTTTTCTGTATGAGTGTGTGTGTGTGTGCGTGTATGTTATTTGCCATATGGAACGGGACGTCAATTCACATGTATGTGATAAACATGATAATACATTTTTTATAAGGTCATGGAGGTCCGTAGACGTTTTTGTTATTGTTTTTTCATCTGTCTTGCTTCATTAGAGTTTGCCATATAGCTGATAAATCTAAAATCAAAGCAGCCCAAGGTACCAACAGTTCCTAAAATGGAAGGCCTTATTCCTACAAATGCAGTTCCTCGGGGACAACATCAGCGAGATACAAACACAGCGCCTTAGAAATGAGGCGGTAAAACGAAGAAGATTCCCTACTACTTCCGAATTACACTGTGTCTTCAAAACCACTCCTCTCTTGCCTTCGTTCTGGAGTAAAAGAAAAACTGCCTAATTTCACCTCCTCTTCCATGTGTGTGTGTATCTACTAATTTAACTGCTCCTGTAGAGTGAGCCAGTTACTTGCATAGGCTGTACAATTAGGCAGGCGTGTTTCTCGTAGAATTTCCTAACATCACCCTGCACAGTGGTTGGTTGTCTAAGTAAAGGACAAACAAAATATATTCACACAGCGGTATTCTATCTCACTCATCTTGTGGATAAAGGAACACAAGACTGATTGATGTTAACCAGGCGGCTTTTAGGGTCATTTACCGAATATCAAAGAATCTCAATTTCGTTCGCCTTAAGAGTTCGACTAGTAAATATTGGTGAGGCTGTCTGGCTGGCCGTTGGGAACCATATTAACAAGCCTAATTTGTGTATCCAATAGAAGTTGGTTAGTTCAGACATTATCCTCACCCGCTTGGCCATCCATCCAGGTTTGAATGATCCTGAATGTTTGTGGAATTTTCTGATTTTAGTTGATATTCTATTTCCTACTATATCTTTATTATTATTATTATTATTATTATTATTATTATTATTATTATTTAAGCATCTTTAATGAACTGTGGTAATTCCGTTGTGATCTTACTTTACAAATCGATATTATTTAAAAAACACGCCGATATTATTATTGGCTACTAATCTAGAATATTCTATGTATATAAACATATGCATATATAGATATAATTGTAGAGCGAGAAGAGGAGGAATTTATCGAAAAGCGGATATTCTTTTGCCTGGCTAAATTATATTTTGTGTTTATATTTTCTTTGTATCTCAATAGCTTTCACTCTTAGCAGTACTTATTGACTGTTTTTCGCGCGTTACGGATAAAAATGACTTTTTCCCTTTACTGTATACATTTAGCATTTACCAGTGTTTTGTTCTATTGTAACAGCTTAAATATAACATAAACGTGTGGTATTAATAAAACTCTCACGTTTGTTAACCAATTAAAGAAACATTAGAAACCTACTAGTATTGAACAGTTGTTGCGTCTTAGTTTTGAACTCTTCCACAGTACGCACCTGTGACCTCACCAGAGACTGAAAGCACGACGTCCAAGTTACAAAGCAAGCTCGCTGACCGTTCAGGCAATAGGGCACAGAGTCAGTGATCCATGATTTGTAACCTCTGCTAGTTCGCGGCATATACCGCCATCACTAGTCTGTGTCGTCGGTAAGTATTTGTCCTCACATCCGACCTAATGAACCCAAATAGTCACTGCTTGTCACTGGAAATTCATTCAGGGCAACTATGCCCCGTAGCCGATCACTACTGTACATTCCGAAGATCGTATGTTCGAGCGTTCTTAGGGTCATTGGTGCATCCTGCTTATCCTGTTGACTCAAGACTAACATTCAGGCATACTATGACAAACTTCTTACCTTACAGAAATGGTTACACATTGTACACATTGTTCATTTGAACTTGGAATTCCATTTTTTGGATTTTCTTCTAAAAAGGAGATCTGATGGTTCTCTTCAAAGATCGATCTACAGGAAACCAACATGGAATGGTCAGTACACAAATTTCTATAGTTGGGTCCCTTTGAGAAGAGAGAGAAATCTGATCCACTCCTTATCCTCAAGAATAAGGAGGATATGTTCCAGTGATACAGTCGATGGGGAACTGGGGTGACTCAAACAAGTCCTCCTCAGAGAGATTTATCGAGAAAAACATGAAGTTAAAGGAAAAGCCTGAAAGAACCCAGGCGATGCTGAAGAAACTGCTATTTATGAGTGTTGAATTTAAAGGTGATACCGCAGCCGAGATCCTGAGGAATCACTTATGCAGATCGCTAGGGAAAACCTTCTTTCCAGCTGAGCTACGTATCGATTTCCACAGCCAACAAATGATCAATGAATGTGTGAAGGGCCACCTCAATGTGTGTTTATAAATTCACCTGCTCGTGTGGAGCTAGTTGTATTGATCACACAAAGCGGTCGCACGCTTTTCAAACGCATCTCTGAAAATTATCCGGCATGGTTAACAAAGGGACAACGCAAGACAATTACTAGCTCAATTGTCGAGTATTTGGTGAACTTAGGCCACGTAGCTTCACCAGAGTCGTCTTTCAAGATTATCTACAAGGTGAGCGCAAATAGTACAAAGAGCGTCAGGTTTCCACTTTTGTGTATGGAGGAGGAGCTGGCAATTCGTTTATATAACCAAAAACTCTGTATACAGAAAAATATTTTTCCACTCTCTTATTCTATTTATTATATTATTGTTTCCTTTAATTCCTAGAGCAACGTAGGGCTTCAGCCAGACGTCTCCATTGCGTTCGGTTCTCTGCTAGAGTTTTCACCTGGATTCAAGTCTGCCTACATGCTTTCATCTCCTCTTCACATCACCTCCTCCTTCAAGTCACCCTAACGACCAACTCGCCGCTTCCCTTTCAGATTCCACTCTAACGATGCCTTGTCTAGTGATGTCAGTCACTTGATGGTTTGTTTTCTCAGAGTATGGCCAGCAAATCCACCTCCATTTCTTCCTGCTTATTTGTTGCACAGTCGATTCCTGCTATGTTTGTTCGCTTCCAAAGATTCCTCCATGTTGCTGATGTTTTCTGGCCGGCCGGCCATCTAATCTTGCGTATTGAGCGAAGACACCTGTTAATGAAGGTGTGTAGTTTGTTTGAGATGCTCTTTCCTGACGCGATAGCCAAGTCTCTGATCCGTATAGTGAGTACCACTGACTGACTTAACATTGGAGTTGAAAATCCGGATCTTATTTTTGATGCTGAGTGCTGTTGACCTCCACACAGACTTAAGAGTAATGAAAGCTTATCTTGCATTTCCGATTCTGGCTTTGATATCCTCGTCAGTTCCGCCTGTAGTTGAGACGATGCTTCCCAGGTAGGTAGTTAGGTAAAGGAGGTTGTTTCTTTCAGGTTCCTCCCATTTATGCAGGCTGATTGTTGTCTGTTGATGTTGTTGTTGCTGTTGGTGGTGTTGGCCAGGAATCTTCATCACCTACCTCTGTTTTCTCTATGTTCACTTGAAGTCCTATCTTTGATGCTTCTTCTGCCAGCTTGTTGCTTTTCACTTGCATATCTTCGAGTGAGTGGGAAATCAGATATATATCATCATCGGTGAAGTCCAGATCCTCCAAGTGTCTTTTTGTGTGAGTCCATTTTATGCCTGTTTCCTCATTGCCCGTTGTGTGTCTGTCATATTATCCAATCTACTGCAGTCAGGAAAATCATTGGCGATAGTAGGCAGCCAGCTTGTCTTACTCCCGTCTTCATTTCCTTGAAGGATTCCGTAAGTTTCCCGTTGTGGATTACTTGGCATGTAGCATTGTCGTACAACTGTTGGATGGCTGAGGTGTATAATTGTCGGTGGCAACCCGAAGTAGCGAACTAGTTAACAAATCACCTCTCGTTCGACGCTTCGCTATCGAAGGCTTTTTCAAAGTCGATGAATTTGAGTGAGATAGAGAGGTAACTTCCATTTCAAGCTTTGTTCAATGATGATCCGTAGTTTCTCCTGAATCCAGCTTGTTCCGATCGGAGTTTTTCATCCAGGTTGGCTTGTTTGATTCTCTCCAGGGTCTCTTATTCTACCTTGGTCTTAACCTCTTCATTAGTCGTTCCCTGTACAAAATTTTCTTTTTTCCTTTTTTAATATTACTTTTAGTTTGCTTTCGCCTTAATAATTAATTCACTATTATCACTCTCATATGCTCCTTTAATACATTTTCATACCCTCTTCACACTTGTTAAATTGACACTCAACTACCACCTTTGTTCTGTCTCTCAGTCAATAGCAATTTTAACCATCCTTATCAAATTTCTATCTTTGTGCAGTTGAGTACCACGTAATCTACAACTTTTGTTGTTTTTTACTTCTAAAGCCACTTCTGAGTAGTTGTATGAGTTACGTCACCCCCAACCCTATTACTCAATAATAGACCACTATATACATTTTTGGTAAGTATTAATATGACTGTACAGCCAAGCCAGCCTGCGAAGATGATTTCATCGATAAAGAAGCATTTTCTTCGCTGATGAATTTGTCTTTTGTATTTTCTTCATGACTCAATAGGTATTTTTGGTGATTTGAAAATCAAAGTTCAGCAAAGATGGCCATTTTTCGGCGAATTCATTTAAAGACAAAGATTACGTAATCAGATGAGAGAATAAAGACATCCAGTTACCAGGGCAAGGAAAGATTTATAACTGCTTCTTTCTGAACACATAAATCTGGTTTCAAGCGTTTGATAGAAATTGCTTCGGCAAACTTGAGGAGAATGGAGCTCCTTTTTCTATTGATAATTTTGAAGGATTTCGCGATTCCCACCTGATGACCCGTGTCGAGGAGATGTCTAGTAATGGCACTCCTATAAGAGTTTGTTCCCTTAAGACGTAGGCTTTTCGGCACATGTTCAGAAAATCGGAGGTGTGCCCTTCTTTCTGTCCTCCCAATGTAACTGCTCCCGCAGATACACGTGAATTTGTATACACAGTTGGAGGTAACATGAGAACGGTATCTATCGACTTTTGACTGCACCAAAGAGCATGTTGTTCGATGGACGGGGACCAACTTAGCTGCAGGATAGGCTATGGTTAGTGACGTCCTCAGTCTTCTGTTGACCATTTCTGCAATGTCTTCACCTTTAAAATCTAGTTGAATGAAGACAAGCTTTTTCCAACTGTGATTTGTTTGGTATTCGACCCTTCACATCTTCCATATTTGTTAATGAATCTTTTAGGATAACCGTTGTTTTTCAGCACCTTTTCGAGATTCGTGAATTCTTCCTCTAGTTTCTCTGCAGAGCATATTCTCCTCGCTCTATAGTACAGAGTCCTGACTAATGCTCGTTTATAGCTATTTGGACAAAAACTATTAAAATGTAAGTATTGTCCATTCAATGTGGGCTTTCGGTAGATTGACCTCTGGAGATTACCATCTTCTAGGCGTTGCATGGCGTCGTTAAGGAAATGGAACTTTCCATCATTTTCATGTTCCACAGTAAATACAATATTTGTATATGCGTTGTTGAATAGTCTGAGTAGGTAGGAGTCATGCCAACGAAATAAATGATGGTACCATATCATTCTGCACAAATCACTGTTGTTCTTGCTTTTTTCAAATTTTAACCTTATCAAATCTATAACCTTGTGACGTTAAGTACTACGTAATTTACAACTTTTAATTCTTTTTACTTCGAAAGCCACTTATGAGTAATTATACCAACGATATCACTCAGCCCCACCAGCTCTTGTACTCAATAAGAGACCACTATATATAAATTTTTGATAAGTATAAATACGACTATACAGCCAAGCCAGCCTGTGAAGATGGATGGTTTCATCTTTGAAGAAAGAAGCATTTTCTTTGCTGATGAATTTGTCCTTTTTATTTTCTTCATGACTCAATGGGTAGGTATCTTCGGTGATCTAAATGTGATTCTTGTACTTTTCGAATTTTTTATTCGTTTTAGGTTTTAGACGAAATATCTAATGTTACCTTATGCGAATTAAGTGATACAGAGCCATGGAGCCTGGACTACTTCCTTGAGCATACGAAACAGTTGTGTAGTCAAGCTGGACAATTGTTACAGAATAAAAGTCAAGCGATTCAAGATGCTGTACATGAGTTAATCGATATGCTGTGCGGTGAATACAGGTTACAGTTGATACAAGAAGAGGAGAAGACAGCAGGAAGCTCACCACGGGTGTTACGATCAGGGAAATCAACAGCATCACCACCACATGACTCAGCGTATTCAAGTAATTGAGATAATTTAATTGACGAATATATTTTGTTTTTTGTACAATTGGTTCCCTTGATTTGATAAATTTCGATAAAGAAAGGAAGACGAAATTTGCAGTATAAAATGTGATATCGTCATCATTCTATTTCACAGGTTGCCCTCATCAACTAACTGCACACTCCTACCTGAAATTACAATGGTTGTTATATAGATGATAATAATAGCATACTTTAATGTTTGAGTGGTAGTAGAGAAGAGATACTATAAAATTGACGACGCATCCAAAATGAAAGCAACATTACAATTTTTAGTTTAAGTTTTCATCATCAGTTTATGTACTTTTAAAGTTGAAAAGAGGGGGGCGGGTGGAGTAAGACAGAAAACAGAAGAAATTGATTAACAGAACAGTGTTAGCTTATGGGTTCACATAGCAGTTCAAATGAACTGTCGTCAAGATTTGACAGAATAACAACTTCAAACAACAAAGGCGGTTACAGTTTGTTTAATGTAATCAAAATCAAAATTTAGTTACCAAGGGAGTGAGAGGTTAATCACACATTCTTTCTGTATGCATGAGTCTGGTTGGTTTAAATCGTTTGATTGCGATCTCTCCGGCAAATCGTAGTACATTTGCTGTCGTTTGTCTATTTGATATTTTGAAGGAATTAGAAATCTCTACGAGATATCCGGTATCAAGAATTAATAAATACGTCTGGTAATTGCACTCGGAGAATATTTGCTTCCTTTCATGGAATACAGGTTTCTTGGAATATGTTCAAAAAACCACCGGATGAAAGTCCTTCTTTCCATCCTTCCAATGTACTTGCTCCCGCAAGTGCACGTAAATTCATAAACGCAGTTAGTTGGAGGTGACATCAGCAGGGGGTATTTATCCAGTTTTGAGTGGATTATAGAAGGACGAGCGGTGCTGTATACTGTTATGAGTTCTGCCACCGGGAAGCTTCTGTTTATTTATTCTATTGTATCTCTTCTCTACCACCACTCAAACATTAAAGTATGCTGTTATTATCATCTATATAACTACTGTAATTTCAGGTAGGAGTGTGCAGTTAGTTGATGAGGGCAACCTGTGAAATAGAGTGATGACGATATCACATTTTATACTGCGAATTTCATCTTCTTTTCGTTATGGAAATTTTTTTCATAGTATGGTTTATTGAGTTATGATTATGACCAATTTTGATAATCTGTCTTTATCTAGATGCATACAACAATTCAATCGCTTTTATTTGACTCACTATAAATCGTGAGAATTGATCATCGCATGATATATATATATATATATATATATATATATATATTGCATGGAGGATGGAAAACCCTCCTGGGAGTACTGAACAGTACTCCATACAAAACCAATACCCGATATATTAATTGTCTAGTAATTGTCCTGCACTCTAATTTGTACTGATTACCATCTATCGATTTCTACACGGGCGCATAAATCATCGCTTGAATACCCAATACTCTTTTGATAACATCTTTCATGGCTCCACTTTTAAGCTTTGAAGTATGCGTGAAGCAGCGGTATTGTTTCTTTCCAAGGGGTGTGGTTGCTAGCCTTACGCACAACCTTCATTCTTTGTTGGAATTAAGACCTATAAGCGTAAGACCTGGGCACTGTGGTGGTAGTGAATAATTCCATATTAGATGTATCACACAGTCACAGAAACAGTATTAGTATTTGCTGGATGACACAGTTTCGAACAAAATTTACTGTTCATAATCATTTCATCAATTATAATCACACAACTTCGAAACTTCAGTTTTATAGTTTTCTTTGTCATTAGGGGTAGTAGAATTTTCCAAATATCTGGGTGGACAGGTGTTGAATCATTCCTATTACACGTATTCCCCCGTTTAAGTTGATTCGATAAACAAAGCTTCTGTTATCAATCTCTCCCTCAATCCAGCCTCTGACATTAGATTTTGAAACTGTCATCTTATCCCATCCCATCCTATTGTATGGTTGTGTGCCATTACAGGTGGTGACTGCTATACCTGAAATATTCTGTAGATTTCTTATCTTATTCGGGTCAAACAATCCAGATCTAGCTGCTGTGTTTTTATGTTCGGCTAGTCTGACTCACTGATTGACCCTGTTCTACTACTTTGACCGATCTATGTGTTTGATCTGACAATCATTCCAGCAGGCGGGGTGTTAGATAAACTAAATTGTTTTGTCGGTTAACAACTCCACTGTCAGGATTGATTCTTTCAACTGACAAAGCTTGTTTCTAATTGAGTTTGTGGTTGGTTTGAATGGCAGTTACTTTTATTCCTGTCAGCCTTGTTAAGAATTCTGTGTAAGGTGGTTTCCGAGGTTCCTTCCTTGTATGGAATTACCACTGTTAGTTAAGATTCCTTATTGTTGGTGCTGTCTTGCGCACATTTTACTTGCATGTCATCATTATTGTTATTATTATTATTGTCACTATGACTACTATCATTATTTATTTTACTTTTACATTTCCCTACATATTTCCTGACTAATTTATCAGGGTAATTATTCAGTTTCAAGGCTTCTTCTATGTGTCTCACTTCCTGTCTTAGACTTTCCTTGGTACTACTTAGTTTCTGTGCTGTGTCACTTAAACATTTCACCAATCCTATTTTTACTGACATAGGATAGGTGGGCTGATCGGAAGTCCAAATATCTGTTTGAATGTGTGGGTTTCCTGTAAACACGCACACACTATTGTGTGTTTAACTCCCCATCTTCTTTCCTTTTTACGTCTAAATCTAACATTGGAGCTCCCCCTCTTCCTGACTTTCCAATTCATCATCAGTGAATTGAATTGCCTCTACCTTCGAGTTGATGTGTTCGAAATAATCTAACTAATATGGAATTAAAACCAGCTAAATAAGGTAAAGATGGATGCTGACAGGGAATCGAACCCCAGACCACTTGCATGGTTGTTGAGATGTATGCCTTTGATGAACCATCAACTTGGGGATAATAAGAGATACAAAATAGTAAGTTAGTTTTAGAAGACAGTAAGTTGTGGTAATTGTAATGACGCAAAGTCTGGAATTCTAAACACCAGGTTGGTAAACAGTTAGTGTATGACTTTACGTTTTACGTTTTATTACACAGTGACACGGTCAGTTAGCCCTATCAGATTATATTTCTCTGGTGTTTCCCTAACTACCGTGAGGGATGCGTAAACAAGTTTTTTTTCACAACTGAAATTATGAATAAAAATATACGCATGTCCTAAACACTGTGACTACATGTATTCGGACTTTATCCGATGACAGTCCATAAAACCGAATAAGTGTCCGTAAGATTACCAAGTTACTTCAGCCACTTAACTGTCTATAATGTTTATGTACAATTAGTCATAATAGTAGTAATGATAATAGTAATAGTAATAATAATAATGGTTTCATCAATAATGAGGATGAAAAATTGAGGCAATCTGTGATAACACGAATACTGATGAAAAACATCATGATTAAACAAACAAATGTTCAGGTAGACATAGTAGGCTGATTGAAACAAATGAACCAATTGAGCAAGAAAGATATGTACGGATGACCTCTTACAAAAGGAATTTGAATATACATTCACGATTCCTTGACGGAGATGAGCTGTCCATTCAAGTAGTTTCATAAAGAAACAAAACAATTCATAGCCTCATTTTTGTCACATTTAGTTGATAGTGGTCATGTTGTAGTGGAGAAAACGAGAGTTTTCAAGGTAACTCATCATATCCCATCGAATCTTTCCAATTGACTTCGTATTCGTCTACTGCAAACACACACACACACAGCTGAGTCAGGCGATAGGCATTCGAACTATTACACCTAAACCATGTCTTCACTCAAAAGAAGTTCGTACAGCTACTATCCCTCCTCCCATGTTGGCCTATTAAGACATAACAACTGACGACTTCTCCACCAGCACCCCTTACTTACTTACTTATGTTTTCAACCTCTCTCTTATCATCCCTTATCTTATCACATCTTTACTAAAAACGTGTTTCATTTACTTCGGTGTTTGTTTAATCATGCAGTTTTTCATCAGTATTTGTGTTATCACAGATTGCCTCACTTCTTCATCCTTATTATTGATGAAACCATTATTATTATTATTATTTTTATTAATTTAATGTTGATGTGTCAATTGACTACTTCCACTTGTGCCCAGTATATTGTTTTTGTTTGTGTATCTTCGCAGGAACCGAATTCCTGTTGGAAGTATTAATCTCAGAACACAGAACGATGTCACCTGTTTTTAATCGTTGTTTTCCTCTTTTATTCCTTTAAGCGTTCCCAGTGGAACATAGGGTGCCTTCAAGCTAGCGGCTTGAAATTTCTGTAGCAGTGATGTTTACTTTTACGGGAGTGGGGTTGCTAGCTAGCCTCATGACCCCAACCTTCCCTCTTTACCAGGTTTTTATTACTCGCTTAGCAAGCGAGGTGAAGGAGTGCATCGGTGAACGGCCGGGGATCGAATCCTTGACCACATGAGGAGAAGGCGTGGTTGGCGCAGCGAGGATTCTACCACTCTCTGTTCCACCGACACACTTTAATCGTAGTAGTTTTGTAATAATTTTGAAAGAATACAACTCCGGCTATTTTAAGTAAGAAAAAACAAACATTGGTGAATCTTATCAGAAAATCGACTTCAATAGTCATACTGTGCTATCCTTGCAATTGATATGGAAGAATAAAACGAAGTAACTGATTAGTGAAGTCATTTTCCCAAACTAATAGACTAACAGCTTTTTTTATAATCGCTGACACAGCCGCTAAAATATCTAATAATTACAGAACACGATTTAAGCAAGTAAATAGGTGTTTTCGGTAAATTCTCATCCGGCTTTACATTTACAAAATGAAATATTAGCCATAGGCATTTTATTTAATGTGACTAATGAGTTCATATAGTGTCAGCGTTCAAGACCCGACCGATAGCTGCTACCTAGACGTGGTGGTCGGGCGTACACTTCACGATGATCCAACAAGCTATAATGGCTGGAATCAATG